TTGAGGAGCTGCTGGGGGTGGGTGTGGTTGAACCACCAACCTCTTGGGTAACCAAACAGAGCTCCTTTGAATAAAAAATACGGCAAATTATCACTCATCCCACTAGCATCTCCCTCCTAGCTTCCCTTGCTTTCCATAAGGGCTCCGGGATGGGACTTCTCCCTCCCTCTCAAATCCTATCCAGGTACAGCCCTGCTGGCAGAACAGACTTCCGAAACCACCATGGCTCCATCATCTGACACCCTGAACCTCCCAAGACTCCTCCTGGCCGCCTCCTTCAGTGACATCCCCAAGCTTGAACCCATTTCTCCTGCTACTTCTCACAGCCTCCTGGCACCATCTTAAGGGGCCATGGACTTGACATGCCCTGGGGCTGGTATGACCTCTGACATCACTGTGGTTTGGTCCCAACTGCTCCTGCATCTCTGAGTCTGCTGTCCTCCTCTAGTCCGTGCTCACGTCTGGGTGTCTTTTCTGCTGAGTTTCTCAGAGACTTCTTTTCTGAACGTGGGGAGACCATGCATACACATCCACCTGTGGACACTGACCCCACACCTTGTCACCTTCCATGGGAAGGAGCCAGGAGCCCCGTGTGCTCTCCTGGGCAGCAGCCTAGGACAGGGGTCTGACCCACCAGCTGTTTGACGGACGGGAGGGGTCAGTCTGCTTCCAGAAGGCTCCACGGACGGGAGAGGGCAGTCTGCTTCCAGAAGGTTCTACAGATCGGAGGGGGCAGTCTGCTTCCAGAAGGCTTCATGGATGGGAGAGGGCAGTCTGCTTCCAGAAGGTTCTACAGATCGAAGGGAGCAGTCTGCTTCCAGAAGGCTCCACGGACAGGAGGGGGCAGTCAGCTTCCAGAAGGTTCTACAGATTGGAGGAGGCAGTCTGCTTCCAGAAGGCTCCATGGATGGGAGGGGGCAGCCTGCTTCCAGAAGGTTCTACAGATTGGAGGGGGCAGCCTGCTTCCAGAAGGCTTCACGGATGGGAGAGGGCAGTCTGCTTCCAGAAGGTTCTACAGATCAGAGGGGGCAGTCTGCTTCCAGAAGGCTTCATGGATGGGAAGGGGCAGTCTACTTCCAGAAAGATTCACAGCTTTGTCAAAAGGCCTCTTCCTAGTTTTCTGAAGAGAGGGTCTGTGTCTAGTCTTTCCTCTTTCTATAGTTCTTCACCTAGCACTGAGTCTTCATGTTGTTGTGAGTTAAAGCTTGGCCAGCTAACAGAAAAGTCAGTGGTTCAAATCCACCAGTAGCTGCATGGAGAATCTGAGGCAATCTGATCCCGTGGACACAGACAGCACTGGTGTCCCCAGGCAGTGCTGACCGTCCCCGCAGGGTCCCTGTGAGTGGACTTGACTTCACAGCAGAGGAATAAAGCTAACACTGACTGAAACCCAAACTTGCAGCTGAATCTCTCGTGACTCAGCCACTGTACTGAGCAGAGCAGAACTACCCACGAAGGCTCTGGGTCTGCCCTCTTACAGAGCCGTCTGCCACCTGCTTCTCCCGACAGCGGCTGGCAGGTCGGAACGCACTACTTTTTAGATGGCGCCCAGATGCTTATCCTCTAGACCTCCGGGCATTCTCCTCACGCTAACTCACTCACCTCCAAGTCACTGTTCTGGGGTTGCGTCCGACCACCCCCGTCCTCTCAGGGCGTCCTCAAGTTGTAAATCTTAAACGAAGGGACTGGACACCTTTCTCCACTGTTGTTCCCTTTAAACCACATAGATCAAAGCACTGAAGGCGCGAGGTCTGTGGGTGAACTGTGGGACACGCTGTGGGCTCTGCCACAGAGCATCCGGCAGCATGGAGTAAGCCTCTTTGACGTAGTTACTGGTTCATCCACTGAAGCAATGGGAAGATATGACGGTCACAGACAATGCCAGGAAGTGAGTTCATGCAGCAAACACTGATGGGCACCTGCCACGCGTCACACACAACCCTGGACCCTGGAATTATCAGGAGTGACTGTCACAGCGGAGACTCCGGAGCAGGCTGTGGGTGACCATGCTGTGTGTCACCCAGACAGAGGACCGCACAGCCGACCCTCCACCAGGCTTTCAGATGCTGTAAGCTGCACAGAAGAAGATGGCACTTCCTTCTCCTGTGGAGTAGCCAGTGGATTCAAACCAGGAGTCTGGGATGGCAACGCAAGTCCTTCCTACAAAGCCACAAGAACTCCCAGAAAGAACTCTGATTGTGGAGCAAGGAGGCTGAGGTTCTCAGGCACACCCAAGAGGCCGCTTCCCAAAACCAATTTGGAAAAGAAGCAATAGGGAGATAATGGAGGATGATCCCGGCCTCAGTGTAATACTAACCACAGACATGTCCCAGCTCGGTCACCTGTCAGGAGGTCAGGAGGTAATCATGTTAGGAGGAGACACAGAGCGTTAGTAATGCTTCAGGAGAAAGTCAGGGGGAGGAAGCTCAGGTGTGGACGTCGAACACACTGAGGGCTTCTGGAATCACCTCCCCGACCATCTCCTGTGTTCCTGCGGTCCACTGTGAGGACAACAGCTCTGTGTGAGGCCTGGGCCTCTAACCACCTGACACATGGGCTTGTTGCCAATGGGGAAAATGAGCAACGGGCAACAAGGACACCATCACAGGCCAAACGTGGCAAAAATGGTCTTGTTTCTACAGAAACAGGAAGGGGGAAGTAGATAGAGAAATCATAGCCCAGGACAGGGGCTGCAGAGGCCCCACAAGCTGTGGCTGACAGTCCAACGGGTCAGTCCTGTGGAAGCCCACGCCCTCCCCCAGAGGAGCAGCTGGTGGGTGCAGAGCACCCCCGTCTGATGAGCAGACAGGTGTGCCCCCTGCCAGCACACAGTAACCCTGTGCCTCGTGGGCTCTGCCCGTGTCCCTCTGAGGCCTGGATCTTCACAAAAACACATTGTTTGCTTACTCTGGGCAGCACTGTGTGAAGTTAGACAGTTGTTGGCATAGAAATCAAACACATCTAGAACTTCTGGAAACATCTGCCCAAAGTGTTAATGGCCTCAACTTTAGAATCTATTGATAACCTGATCCTCTCTCCAAGGAGCAGCTGGTGAATTCAAACTGGAGACCTTGTGGCTAGCAGCCCATCACATAACCCACTTGCCGTCAGGGCACCCTGCAGCGACAGGGTGTCAGATACCACTTTCATTGCTGGCACAGGGTCACCTCCTGGCCTGTCTGACCATCGGCGATGTCATCTCTGCATACAATATTATCTTGCCTTCTCTTGTTAATGGAAAGCTTGGCGGTTTGAACCCACCCAGCTGCTTCACGGGAGAATGAAGGGCTACTCTCATAGATTACGACGGAGGACACAGCGGGTCGCTCTACTCTGTGACCCAGGGCGGCCACGCCGTTGCTGCTGTTAGGATCTCTGAGCCAACTGCAACCCACAGAGAACCCTGAACAGACTGAATGAACCTTGCCCTACCCTGGGCCCGTCTCCTCACCACTGCCTGTTCAATCCATCTTGTCAGGGGTCTGCTTCTCTTTTGATGACTCTCCACCTTTTCCCACGGGATGTATTTTTCCAAGGACTGATCCCTCCTGACAACATGCCCAGAGTATGTGAGACAGTTTCGTCATCGCTGCCTCCAAGCAGTACCCTAATTGCACCTTGCTGCGAGACAGACTGATTTGTTATTTTGGAAGTTCACGCACAGAAATCTAACACTGGACTTCCAAGCCCCCACTTCTTCCTCTATCTTCCCGCTCCCTGACCACCTTCAGAGGGCGGAACACCTGGAAACGCCATGCCTTGGGTGGCTGGGAAGTACCTGGAGGGGTACCGGGGAAGACCACCGAGCTGGCAAGGTTGGAACAGAGCTTTCTCACTGAACGACCTGCAGGTGCTGATGTGGTGAGACTCGCAGCGAGGAGAAAGAGCTGCTGACAACAATTAACTGAAATGTGGAGTGTAGGCCACAAAATTCTAGGAAAACGGGAAGCTTTGAGACATGAAACGGAATGCATCAACGTTAACCTCCTACAAGCGGCGGGGGCCCGGGCGTCGGGACCAACGTGGTGGCAACTAATAGCACCAGCACCAGTTCCCCTACGCTCTGAGGCTCCGTTTATGAGAGCAGGGATTAGCCCACGGTCATGGAGCCCTCCAGGCATGCAGCCCTCCAAGCTGTGCCTGGGCCTTCCGAGGCCGGAACCTTTGCAGGAGTACACAGTGTCTCTCTCTCCTCAAAGTGGCTGGGTGGCTGGCACCATCTTTCCGCCAGCAGCTGCACCTAAAGGCCTGCGCCACCAGGAATCCTTAGGAGGCAAATGCCCCTTCAACACAGATGGAAATGTATATGGAAGTAGTCAGGTCTCTGCTTCCACACAACTGTAACAGCGATTTCAGTATGGTGGGAGTGAGCTCACCCCCTGGGGAAATTGGCCAGGGAGGGGAACACCAAGGAGCAGACCTGTGGAGCAGGAGACCCCAAGTGAGGGGACAGCAGGGAGCTGCATCCCACCTATGTCTTCTGATGGCACTAGCACCAAGCTGCTGCCCACTCCCAAACTCACTGCCTCCTAGTGGAACTGACGCGAGGCTGATGCTCCGCTCGGTTTCCAAGGCTGTAAATCACCGTGAAGATCATCCTGGTTCTCTGCCAGAGAGGTGGGTGCATTCAGACTGACAGAGGCACGGGGTTTTGGTTAACTTCATCTGCTGCACGGAAGGGTGGGTGTTGTAGGGCCGTATAGACCAGGTTCCTACCCAAAAGGTCAGCAGTTTAGATTCACCAGTGTGTCCTCCAGAACTAAATATGGGCAGTTGAGTATTTAATCACTGAGGCTCTAAGGTTCTTCTTTGTGCATCTCTGTGAAAGGAGAACCTGCTTGTTAAAGCAAAACATAAGAACACAACAGCAGAATGTCTTCTTCTCCCTTACATTGTAACAGTAACTCTAAAGATGTGGAATGACAATTAGTTAATAACAGTAAAAGTGCTAAACAAAATCCAAACTAGACCTCAGCGTGCCCACCACACACTCTCCTCACCATCCGGTTAATCCGCACGAAGTCCTCGGGCTTCTTGGCCCATGGTGGGAGCTCCACGTCGTTGACCACGGTCTCGTCCTCCCTGACGCCCAGGTTGTACCCGTTGTTGTTGACGAACATCTCAGGCAGATAGAAGAACTCTGGGAGCAGCTCCTGATGAGACAGAAGCAAACACGTGCGAGCTCAACACCACCAAATTTCTCTAGTAAGAAACCGTATTCCTACTACTTCATTTCAGTCTTTATTCTCTTTCTGTTACGTATATAAAAAAGAAAGGGTATGGGGAGCTCTGGTGGCCTAGTGGCAAGCTGTACTGCAATCCCAGAGGTACACGGTTCAAATCCACCAGATGCTCTGCTGGAGAAGGAGGGACAATTTCCTCCTGTACCTGTCAGATCTGATTTGACGGTACATGCACAAAAAATAAAAAAATAAAAAGGGTAAAGTATCTCTTTAACAATTCACTTAGCCATTAATGTTTATGAAACATAAAAATGTCAATTTCCAATCTTACCTCCAGAAATGAAGAACAACACTCATGGTTAGGATGAATAACCATTTCATAATTGTTGTTGTTGTCATGTGCCGTCGAGTTGCTTGTGACTCATGGCAACCCTATGTACAATAGCTCTAAACTCTGCTCTGTCCTGTGCCAATCTCATTGTCTCTGACACACTCATTCTGATTACCCCATCAATCACTGATTACCGAATCAATCCACCTCATAGAGGGCCTTCCCCTCCTGCACCGTCCCTCCAACCTCCCAAGCATGATGTCCCTCTCCAAGGACCGGTCCCTCCTTACAACATGACCAAAGTATGTTAGACGGAGCCTCAGAATCCTTGCCTCCAAGGAGCAGCCCGGTTTAACCCTCTCCAGGATGAATCTGCTTGTTTTCTTAGCAGTTCATCACACTCTCAGCACTCTTCTCCAACACCAAAGCTCAAAAGCATAAATTCTTCTATCCTCCCTGGTCATTGTCCAGCTCTCTGATGCATAACAAGTGATTGCAAAGACCATGGTCTGTACCAGACACACCTTAATCTCCAGAAACACACTGTTTCTCTTGAGTACTTTAGAGAGGTCTCTAACAGCAGACTTTTCCATCGCATTACATCTTTTAATTTCCTGGCTGCTGGTGCCAAGAATGTTGATTGTGGAGCCAAGCAGACTAAAGCTGTGAACAATCTCAATCTCTTCACCATCCATCCT